GGATGGGATGGGATGGGATGGGATGGGATGGAGGCCCTGATGGGGAGAGATGGATGGGTTGGGTACGGATGGATGAGGACGGGGATGCGCCCAGATTTATACCAGTCAAGACGCGCAGTTTAAGGAGAAGGGACCCAAAGCCCCATCCCCGTTACGCTTTGGTGGGGACGCGCCATCTCCCGCCATCCGGCGGCGTTCCCTCCTCGCTGGCTGGCGTGCCGGAGGCGGGGACCTCTCGGGACTAACCCCTATTTACGTCTCGATTTATTTTTAGAGGAATGTGACACAGAAAACGGTGAGTCTCCTTCTTCCATTAGGAAAAAAAAAAAAAAAAACTTAAAAAAAAAAAAATTATTCTGTATTTGGGAATTTTTCCTGCTCAGTGAGTCATACTCCTTCTGCAGCGGCGCGCTTTGGGTCGGTGCTGCTGAGAGCGATTTTGCATATATTTTTTTTTTCCCTTTCGGCGTCAAAAAAGTGCAGAAGTGAGAAGATTTAAAAAAAAAAAAAAAATAAAAACAATAAGGAAACACCTATACGTAAACAGAATAAGGCCGGATAGAACAGAGATTATTTTCTGTCTTAATATTAATTTTATTCTTAATATTATAGAAGTGGTGAAAAATAACTTTCCCTTCTTTTTCCCTTCTTTTTTTTTGGGGGGGGTGTACAAAATGCAGAAATAGGTAAGTATCGCTTTTTTATCTTTGATAAATTAATTCCGATAAAGGAATTTTCCCGTTCCCACGCGGAGCTCTGGGCTCTGCCCTTGACCTTTCGTGTTTATTTAAATGCCAAATATTTAAATTGTCCACCAGAGAAATAACTCAAGCCCTCCTTTAACGCCCATCCCCATTTATTTCTCTTATTTCTTATTTTTTTTTAAGGCGAACTCGCAGCAGAAATTGGTGAGTCGCGATTTCCCTCCCATCAAATATGGGATTGTACAGCTTCGAGCCGTGTTTTTGCTGATTTACCCAGTGTTTATTCCCTTTCTCTCACCATTTTTTTTTAATTCCTTTTCTCTTCCCTGTTTTTATTAAAAAAAAAAAAAAAAAAAACTAAACAAAAAACCAGGCAGGATATTCATTTTTAACAGGAACTAATATTAAAAAAATAATAACAATACAGAAACCGGGGAGCTTGCGGGTTGTCCTGGCCGTAATAACGAGAATAAAGGGAATTTCTGAGCCGAAGCCCCGTGACGTAGGACAGAGCTTTGGGGCTGTTGAGACTTAATCCCTCTCAAAATACTTCAATTTCGCCAAAATTCCTTTTTTTCCAAATTTGGATCGTCCCATTATTTCACCGTAGATATCACAACTGGGGGAAACGTGTCGAGCGTTAGCTGCAAAATAGCTTTAATTTCCGAGCAAAGAAAGGACCAAATAGGGTACGGTGCGTCTCTGGAGGTCCTTGAGAAAAAAAATGTATTTATTTTTTCTCTTTTTTTTTTTTTTTCTCTCTCTTTTTTAGAAAATCTGACTGCGGAACTTGGTGAGTGGTTTCCTTCTTTCCCGTCTTCACTTCACTGGGGGGTTTTAGGGGGAAGAGGTGGTTGTTCCCCCCCTCAAACACACCTTAAATCCGATCTGGGTTGAAATAAAGTCAATTAATTTAAAAAAAAAAAAAATTTCAAATTATAAGCCCCAATAAAATCAAAATTTGGGGGTGGAGGAGGACGTGAGGTTCGCGGGCGCTTTTTAACCGTCGATATTTCCTCTTTGATTTCCCTTTTTAGAGGAACGCGATAGACAAATCAGTAAGTGTCATTTTTCCGGCGTGTTTCCCATCCGGTTATTTCAATTATTTTGGGGAATAGATGGGAGCTTTTGGGTTTACGCCACCCTGCAGAATTTGGGCTTTTTGATTACATAGTGCCTCTCTATCCCAAATACAAAGGCAGCCCTTCTTTCCCTTATTTTTATTTCTTTCCCTTATTTTTATTTCTTTCCCTTATTTTTATTTCTTTCCCTTATTTTTATTTCTTTCCCTTATTTTTATTTCTTTCCCTTATTTTTATTTCTTTCCCTTATTTTTATTTCTTTCCCTTATTTTTATTTCTTTCCCTTATTTTTATTTCTTTCCCTTATTTTTATTTCTTTCCCTTATTTTTATTTCTTTCCCTTATTTTTATTTCTTTCCCTTATTTTTATTTCTTTCCCTTATTTTTATTTCTTTCCCTTATTTTTATTTCTTTCCCTTATTTTTATTTCTTTCCCTTATTTTTATTTCTTTCCCTTATTTTTATTTCTTTCCCTTATTTTTATTTCTTTCCCTTATTTTTATTTCTTTCCCTTATTCCTTATATTTTGGTTTTCCCCCCTTATATTTTGGTTTTCCCCCCTTATATTTTGGTTTTCCCCCCCTTTTTTTTTTTTCTGTTATTTTCATCAGCACCAAAGATGTGGGGACCGATTCTTTATCTGTAATATAAAGCCGTTGTCACCAGTCCCTTTCCTCCACTTAATTACCAGCTCGTTAGGCTCGTTAGCACCGACCGATAGAATATATAACTTGACCCTGGGGAAGGTGGAAGGCGGCGCAGCCCGGTCGCGTTTGCGGAGAAATAAAAATTGATTTAAAGCTAATATTCATTTCTTCCGTTTGGTTTAAGGCAAGCTGACGTCAGACCTGGGTAAGGAGGTTTTGATTTCCTTAAAATGAAAATTATCCTTAATTACGCAAAAGAGCTGTGTATAAGAAAGAATACATTAAAAAAAATAGAATGTTTTGGGTTTTTTTTTTAAGGAATGGGTGGCTTATAGGGGGATTCCTTCCTCAACAAACCTGATTTTTAAAATATTTCAAAATTCAACAAACCTGATTTAAAAATAATTTAAATATTCCTTAACAAACCCGATTTAAAAATATTTTAAATATTCCCCAACAAACCCGATTTAAAAATATTTCAAATATTCCTCAACAAACCCGATTTAAAAATATTTTAAATATTCCCCAACAAACCCGATTTAAAAATATTTCAAATATTCCTCAATAAACCCGATTTTTAAAATATTTTAAATATTCCTCAATAAACCCGATTTAAAAATATTTTAAATATTCCTCAACAAACCCGATTTAAAAATATTTCAAATATTCCTCAACAAACCTGATTTTTAAAATATTTCAACATTTCCTCAACAAACCTGATTTTTAAAATATTTCTCCGTGTTTATTTATTTCTCTGTATTTATTGGTTGTTTCTTGGGTTTTTTTTTTTTTTTAGGCGAATGCGATGCCAAAATCAGTACGTAATTCCCCATTGGATGAGCGCTCTTCACTTTCATCTGGGAAAAGCTGAGGATTTCTTACTGTAAATTGAGCAATGTTCAAAAAAACCCTAATTTCAAAGTATAATTTTCAATATTTTGGGGGAAAACCCCAACATTCCTGGTCTGAGCGCTCCAGGGATGCTGTAGAGCGAACCACGGAAAAGAGGGAAATATTTAATAATAATTTTTCTGCTTTTTTTTTTTTTATTTTATTTCCCCCCCCACACTTTCTTTCCAGAGGAACGTGATAGAAAAATCAGTAAGTGTCATTCTTCGTTGTGGTTTTTTTGGGGTAAAACCCCCTTGTTTTGGGGGAGGGGGGAGCCGCTCTCGTGCCCTGTCCTTGAAAAGTTGCAAAAAAGAATATATATATTTCTGTTTCAATCTGGGCTTCTGCATTTCCCGCAGAGAAAAAACACCCAAATAAACACATAATCTTTTTATCTTTTTTTTTTTTTCCTTTTTCTCTTTGCAGCCAAGCTTGCAGCAGAAATACGTGAGTCCTTTCTTTCTTTTTTGAAACAAAAATGATGGTTTTAGGCTTAAAAACCACTTCTCTGGAGGCAATTTTGGTCGTTTGAGTTCAAATACCTTTTTTTTTTTTTCTTATTTCAAAGGTAGACTCACTGCGCTGCTCGGTAAGTCGAATTTTTGTCCAGAACTTCCCGCGAGGATTGGTTTAATTAAATCTTTGCATGATTTTATGCAGATTTTACTGTGTGTTTTTTTTAAAAAAAAAAAAAAATCTGAAAAAAAAAGAAATTTCTAATTCAAATAATCAGAAAAATGAGAAAAATCAGCTTTGCGGCAGCAGGTTTTTGAGCCGTTGCCTTCCAGACCTGTTGTCCTGGGGGAGGAGGGCAGCGCTGCATAAAAAAAATAACCCCCAAAATGTTGGATTTTATTCTTTTTCCTTCTTTTTTTGTTATTCAGGGGACCGGGACTCGAGGCTTCGTAAGTGCTGTTCTCCTCCTGATGTGTAAAAATTGCCCAAATTGGTGGTTTTCCTCACTAGAATAGAATATTTTGCCTTTCGAAAAATCGCTTTTCGCCTTTCGAAAAATTGCCTTTTTGCCTTTCGAAAAATCGCCTTTTTGCCTTTCGAAAAATCGCTTTTTGCCTTTCGAAAAATCGCTTTTTGCCTTTCGAAAAATCGCTTTTTGCCTTTCGAAAAATCGCTTTTTGCCTTTCGAAAAATCGCGCCTTTCGAAAAATCGCTTTTCGCCTTTCGAAAAATCGCTTTTCGCCTTTCGAAAAACCGCTTTTTGCCTTTCGAAAAACCGCTTTTCGCCTTTCGAAAAAAATATACCGTATTAGATTTTATTGCCTTATTTCATACTACCAACCTATACATTTTTATTAACTATTTTATACTCTACGTTAAAATTTCATTATTATTTAAAATAAACTTGTGGGTTTGGGGTTTTTTTTTGTTTTTTTGTTGTTTGTTTTTAGGGAAACTCACTTCAGAACTTAGTAAGTCATTTTCTTTCCTATATATCCGGGGAAAAAGGGGGGAAGGGGCAGTCAGAGGCACTGAAAACGTATCTTTTTTTTTTTTTTTTTTTTTTTTTTTTTTTTTTTTTTTTTTTTTTTTTTAGCCAAGTGTGATGCAACAATTAGTAAGTGACATTTCCTCCTCGTCCGCCTGGTTTGGTTTGGTTGGGGTGTCAGCGTCGAAGGGCCGCTGGAATTTCTTCTAATAAACTAAATTTGGGAGCCTGAAGCCAAATTTCAAGGGGAAAAATGAAAATTTAAGGGAGGGGAAAAACCCCCATGGGAAGAGGCAAGAAGGGATGGAGGGGGGAGGTCGGAGCTTTGGGGAAATCCAGTGGGAATTAATGGTATTTTCTGGTTTAAGGACTATTTACGGTGGAGCTTGGTAAGTCCATTTCCTTCCTTTTGTCTTTTTTATGAAATAGCAGGGAAAAAAGAAAAATGAAATTGTGGGGGGAAAAAAGAAAAGGGAAATCAAATTATGGGGAGGGGAGGAAAGGAAAAATCAAATTGTGGGGGGAGAAAGTAAAGGAAAATCAAATTGTGGAAAGAAAAAGATTGGGGAGAAAACCAAAAAGAAAAAGTCAAATTGGAAGAAAAAGTCAAATTGGAAGAAAAAGTCAAATTGGGGGAAATGAAAAGAAAAAATCAAATTGGGGGGAAATGAAAAGAAAAAATCAAATTGGGGGGGAAATGAAAAGAAAAAATCAAATTGGGGGGGAAATGAAAAGAAAAAATCAAATTGGGGGGGAAATGAAAAGAAAAAATCAAATTGGGGGGGAAATGAAAAGAAAAAATCAAATTGGGGGGGAAATGAAAAGAAAAAATCAAATTGGGGGGGAAATGAAAAGAAAAAATCAAATTGGGGGGGAAATGAAAAGAAAAAATCAAATTGGGGGGGAAATGAAAAGAAAAAATCAAATTGGGGGGGAAATGAAAAGAAAAAATCAATTGGGGGGGAAATGAAAAGAAAAAATCAATTTTAAAAAAATTGCAATTTTAAAAACGACCTACAAAGTTATTACTGCCCATTTCGTATCTACCAGGTGAAAACCAGTGCCTCAAAGGCAGAAATAGAGAAATAACCCCCCCCAAAATAAATCGAGCTGTGGGCGGGGACGGGAATCCTGGGGTGGTCCCGACTCTGACTGTAGAGACGCGGAAAAGGCAGAAATTGTGAGAAATAATACACAATTGTGGGTTGTTTTTTTTTTTTTTCACTTATTTTTCAGGCGAGCAGCACACAAAAATCGGTAGGTTTTATTTTCTTTTTTTTTTTTAATTTTATTTTATATTCCTTCCGGATGAATTTCTCAGGAGTAAATCAAATTCGGAAATCACCGGTGTATTTACAGGAAAAGAAATTAAAAATTTGCCATAAAATTAATATTATTATTTTTTTTTCCTCTTTTCAGGTGAACTTACAGCAGACGTGGGTATGTCATTTTGCCGTTAATTCTGATTTAGGTGGAAATCGGGATAGAGACCGAGTGATGTAATAATCCAATATTTCTCTTCATTTTTTTAGCGCACTGCAACAGAAAACTTCGTAAGTGCCTTTTTGTTTAATTGCGGGAATGAACCCCGAGAATTTCATCGTCTGTTGTGTCATCGGGAACAGAGCGACATCATGAAATTTTGGGTTTCTTTCTTTTTTTTTTCCCCCCTCTATTTTAAGGGCAACGTGAGGCAGAACTTGGTAAGGAATTTCCCTGCTTTACTCAAAATCGAATTTTATTGTAATTTTTTTTCCAGTTATCTGCGGGTTTTAAGGGGGTAATTTCTGTTTTAATCGAGTTTAGCAATAATTATGCAAAAGAGAGCGACATCATGAAATTTTGGGTTTCTTTCTTTTTTTTTTCCCCCCTCTATTTTAAGGGCAACGTGAGGCAGAACTTGGTAAGGAATTTCCCTGCTTTACTCAAAATCGAATTTTATTGTAATTTTTTTTCCAGTTATCTGCGGGTTTTAAGGGGGTAATTTCTGTTTTAATCGAGTTTAGCAATAATTATGCAAAAGGTAAGGTAAATATATTATTAATATATTTTATACCTGTAATATATACTATATATTATATATGTTT